CGCAGCCAGATAAAGCCTTGGATTAGGCACACCTGTTGGCTCTGGCCTCCTACCGGGAGGGCCCCTGCTCCACCTAAGGGCTGGGGTCTCCCCTTCTATGTCCCCTTCCATGTATGAAAGCACCAGGTGCCCCTGTGCAGAGGCCTGCAGCCAGGGTCCGTGGCTCTGCTGAAGGGGGGCCGAGACCCCACAGAGCTGGGATGCAACGCAGGGTGAGAGACGCTGGCCCAGGCTTTTCATCCACCAGGAGGCGGGGGGGGGGGATTTGGGGGGTGGTGTGGAAAACAACCGTGCGCACTCCAGGAGTTGCCCGGGATAGAGGCAGAGCGGGGGCCAGAACCTCCGTCTGCTGCCACTCCTCCCCGCCTGGCACTCCCTGGGAGCCTCAGAGGGCGGCAGCTCTGCCCGCGCCCATGTTTGTGGCCTTCTCCTCTCTTCCAGAGGCAAGGGGGCCCAGAGGCGGTCAGATGGGAGCATGGCCCCGAGCTGAGAATCCAGACGGGCTCACCAGACTCAACTCACAGCCGTCTCGCTGCTGTGTGGGCTGTACTGGGTCTTCCCTGGTTTTCATGATTCCTTTTTTTTTTTTTAAGTTTATTTATTTACTTAGAAAGAGAGAGAGTGTGTGAGGGACAGAGAGAGAGGGGGAGAGAGAAAATCCCAAGCAGCCTCTGCACTGTCAGCGCTGAGCCCCACGCTGGGCTCGAACTCAGGGAACCATGAGATCATGACCTGAGCTGAAATCAAGAGTCAGACATTCAACCGACTTAGCCACCCAGGCGCCCCCAGGATTCCTTTTGTTTCTGACTCCTCCCCCCACTGCCTCCTTGCTGTGCCCCCCCCCTCCCCGCCCAGGGCTTTGCCCTCTCCGCTTCCTCTGCCTCAGCACCCACAGACCTGCCCGCTCTTGCCTGCATACTCACGACTCCCAAATCAGACTCCTCCCAGCCTCGCTTTCTCTGGGACGCCACCGCTGAGCTGGTTCCAGCAGGTTCTTCAAACCCAACACATCTAGAACAGAACTCACCAGCTCCCCCAGCTGCCAACCTTACACACCATTAGTAGGAACGACACCGTTTCACTCCGTCATCTCACCCCGAAACCCGGGCACCAGCCCGGAGCGGAGCTCGCGAACGTCAGCCCGCGGCCGAAACAGCGGATGCCTCCTGTAGACACTGACCCTGCGCCCGCACTGCACACACCCCCGGTCCACACCTGGAGGAGCATGGACTACACCCGCGTCCGCCTCGCTCCCTTCCCCCCACTGCTCACTGCTATCACTGCTCTTATCACTGCCTTCCATGTCTAGCGGGACATGAATAGCTGACATTTATTGAACACGCAGGTGCCAAGCACGTGGATGGCGCATGCGTCGTAGCCTGAAAAGACGCATTGAACATCGGCTGATGTAATAGGCACCTTCACTTTGGTCCAAAACACACGAAAGTGTGTGCCTGTAAAGTTGACATTCTGGTAAAAGAAGAATGATATTTACAAGGTAAATAAGGAACCTACGAAAAGAAAGTCACTTTAAATCTGGGAATGGCTCACCGACAAGGTGACACTTAAGAGAAGTTGAAGGAGAATTTGTTTCATGTAACCCCAGGTCTCGAGGTGCCCTTTCCTTCATTCGTCTCAGACGGCTGGTGCTTTCTTATCTTCCAGCAACATCCACAGTCTAGGTCTGTGGTCTCACCAGGGACATGGGCCAGCAGCCTTCATGGGCCAGCCTCCCTGGCTGGAGACTTTCCTCCTCTCACCCACCCTCACCCTGCAGCCCAAATAACTCTGCAGAGCAAATCACTAACTCTCTTGCCTCATGTTATTCAAGGGTTCCCAGAACCCTCGAGATGAAATGCAGATTCCTCCGTGTGGTGAGGAATCCGGCTCCTGGCGATTAGGGCCCCACACGTATCACCAGCCCACCCATCTGGTCTTCTTTGCTTTTGCACAAACGGAAGCACCTCTGCCTGTCTTAGGGGCACCCCTCCCCCACAGGGATGCTCTTCCACACTTGTCCTGCCCTCTTTCTGAATCTTCAAACCGTCTCTCTCCTTGGCTCTCTCTCCATGAAGGTTTTCCAGCCTCAGCTGACCCCTTTAGCTGGCACCCTCTCTTGTTGGAAAGAGGTCCTTACGCCTAATGATGTCACTTCCTCACCTGAGGTTCATTTGATGGTGCCTGGCTACAGATGTAGAAATGGAGGCACAGAGAAGTTAAGCAAGTCGCCCAGGATTGCACAGCATAGGGGCCAGAGCTGGGACTCAAAGTCAGGCAGCCGGGCTCCAGAGTCTGTACTCGTAACCACCACTCTCTACAGCCCCTCCTCCACCCCACGAGGTGAGGATGATGATTATTCTTGACATAGAGGACGAAACCAACCAATTTGCTCTATGGCTTATAAGCAAAGATGTCTTTTGTGACTGCCCCGAACAAGTTCAGGATAAATCAAATGCTGACAACCTGCAGACTTTATGTCTGCCTTTCTATTCTTTGTCAAGAACACTTAATCCTCACAGGCAGGATCTTGACCTTCATTGTTTTCCCAACCAGGAGCGGTCTTGGATGCAAAGCCAGGGATTCCCACACCTGGGCTACAGCCACCTTGGCCACAACTCTGAGACCCTGCCTTGAGGAGTGGCCAGTGGACAGGTACTGAATGCTGGCCGCTAGCTGATAGGTCCATGGGCTGTTGGGACCGGTGGGCGCCCTAATGACCATCGGATGATGAGATTAGCCAGCCCAGGCGGGCAGATGCTGAGCCGTTACGGGTGCAGCCTCTGTCCTCCTCTGATCAGCACGTCTGAGGCTCATTTGCTAGGTCTCTGCCTCATAATTAAGCAATGACCACGAGTCTGTGCTCCTTTGTTTTGAGAGTCTGAGCATGACAGGGAAGGAGGATAACCATGTTGGATCCTTAGAAGTTAAACGTTCTGCCTCCTAGGTTTGCACGCTGTGCCGAGCTGTGGTTACCCAGCCTGGAGGCTCTCACTCCACCAGCCTGCTGAGTGTCCCTCCTGAAGGCAGCTTCGGGGAGAAAGAACAGCTCCTTGGACTCGTCAGCTGGCGACCTTGAGCAAATCACTGAGGCTCTCAGAGCCTCCTCTGTTCCCTGACCGCTTTGTGGGTGACCCCGAGGATCACTGAGAGGGGCTGCCTTTGTAAATTGTGAAGTGGGAGCCCCATCTGACCTGTGAGAGGTGTTTGCTTGTGAAAAGGACCAGTTTATCTTAGCATCTAGGCTCTGTTATCTTTCCCTTTCCCATTGACCGTCCCTCTAGATTCCTAGATCGTTTAATGCCACAAGTCTTCCCTGGGACCCCCAGTGAGGTGCTCGGTGATGCTTGATGTCTGTGGCCGGGAACTCAAAAGAAGGACAAAGTAGGGCCTGTCCATGGTCCTGTGGCCCTCAAGCCAGGGTCAGGGGAAGACAGAAGGCCCCAGATAAGGCAGCTTTCAGCAGAAAGTTTTCTGCTGGTTTCTATTCTTAACATTCACACGGAAAAGGCACATTTGTGACAAATTTACACTCCCCCCACCCCGTGTATCCACTACCCTGCTTAGGCAGCAGCATGGCCAGCCTCACAGGATCTCCTCTGGACGTCCCCGCTTCCTAGCGTGAGCATCACACATAGGTTTTGCCTGGTTTTGAGCTTTAAATAAACGGACCCATCCAGGGCTGCTTTCTCGGCACATGACGTGTGTGAGGTCTGTCCTGTGGGGTGTTAACAGCTACGGTTGGCTTGTTCTTATTGCTGTGCATGGAGTCCCACTCTAGGACATGACTGATCTGCTCTGATGATCGCCTTTAGGGGTAGTTTCCAGCTTTTGCTCTGCTGCGAACATTCCAGGCCGTGTCTCATGGTGGGCTTATGCATATTTTCTTTTATGTCCAGACCAGCAGTATAATGGCTGGGTTGCGAGGTGCACTTCTCACTAGATTTAAGCATGTTGTTGGAACTTCACATGCTAAATGCTGTGGTCAACCAGCTCAGGCCCCCAGAGGAGGGGCTGTGAGATTTTGTTAAGAACAGGAAGCCGCAAGTAGCTGGATCAGGCATCCCTTGGTGAGGCTCCTGGACTCTGGTCCCCTCCCCTGAGTCTGGGCTTGCCAGACCATCCTCCTGGGAGGGGAGGGGCATGGGGCCCCCTCAGGAGGGCTGGGGTTGGGGCGTGGGGGGAGGCCTTTGAGGTTCATTTCCCTGCTTTCAGCCAAAGCAGTCTGTCTGTGTGCTCTGTTTTTCATGGTGGGGTCTGAGAATGACTTCCTGTGGGTTTTGTCTTTTGTTTTTTTTTACATAGTTTTAGCTGTTTCGACGTTTGAAAAAGCCACTGCTCTAAGGTCCTTTCCAGCTAGAAAATTCTGTTTTGGGAGCAGGAGGTGGGTGTGGGAAGGGTTAAGCATTATTCAGCCAAAGCGCAGGGCTGGGCCTCGGTGACCTTTTAAAGTTCTTATAGCTTGGTTTTCGATGCGGGAGATCTCATAACATTCTATAAAAATAGCGTTCAAACAAAACAACTTCCGAAGTTCAAAAGACATGGAGGAGAGGCTTAACCTTGAGGAATGTTTGGGCAGCATTTCGATGAGGGTCTTAAGGACTGTTTCCTTCACCCACTCACCTCTGCAATTTTTTTTTTTAACCTCCCATTGGCTGTTCCTTATAGTAGTCACTTGGGGTTGTTTAGATTCAGAATAGTTCCCATTCGGCCAAAGAGTGGGTGACGTGGGTGGCCTGTGTGTCCCTCTGAAGGGTGGTGGCCTTGCCTCCTCCGATACCAGGCCTAGTTTGGGCCTGTAGTTGCGCTCGGTGAGGGAGGCCGGGCTGTTCGTGGGCCCGGAGAGAAACGTCTCTGCCTTGGCATGTAGCTCTGAGTCAACAGGGCCTGATAAACAGCCCATTTCCCGGGGCCGGCAGGGAACAAAGCCCCTGGCTGCTGTGGGATATGCTCCCCCCCCCCCCCCCCCGCCTTCCTGAAACAGCTGTTTATTCTTTTGACAGGAGTTGGAACACAGTACCTTCCCTTCCTCCCAGGCCTGCCTCCTTCTGCAGAGCGGAGTTCAATAGAACTTTGTTGATTTGCCTTTTACTCTGTGGGGCGAGAAGCAGACGATGAGGTAGGTGGGGGTGCTGGAATGGTTTACTCCTGCCTTGTCGGGGTCCGTGGGGGGGGGTTGCGAGCAGGGTCTGGGCAGGGAGGAACCTCGCTCTCCCCTGCCCCCCTTGCTGGTGCCCCCACTAGTTCTGGAAGAAGACAAAGTCCTTCTCTCCCGCATCCAGAAGCAGGAGCTGGCGAGATGCTGGCCCCGAGGGTTTCACTGTAAGCTCTGCTTTATTTTCTCCCCCCACCTGGCAGGGCGTCATGGGGCTGTGGCTGGCTGGCGTGGCCGTGGCCCGGGGTTTTCTCTCCAGGATTCCGAGTGACAATGCGGACGCAGGAGGGCCAGGGCTGACGTTGCGGGTGGGCCCAGAGCCCCTCAGCGCGGTGCGGACACTTCATTTACCTTATTTCTCTTGGGAAAAAAAAAAAAAACAAAAAACCTTGCACCGTGACTCGAGGGCCAGACAGTAAGGAAAAGCTGGCCGGACCTAGGCTTCGGATTTCCTGCAGGGGATTCAAGAAAAGGCTCCCCAAGATGGACCTTGGAGAGCAGGTTGTTCCGTTTGCGATGGCTGGAGCGACAATTAGCTGTGTATTTAGTCTGAGACCTGACTCCTCGTTTCCTCCGTCTGTGTTTACTCTGACCCTCATAATGGAAAACAGCGCTGGAAGCAGATCTCTATTTTTTTTTTTTCCCACAAATTGTCCCATGTTTCTTCCAACGGGGAGCACTTCCCTGGGTTGCCCACCATCTCAGCAGGGGGTTCGGGGAAGGTGGCACCCCCTCCCTGAGCCCCCCAGCACTGCCCCCTCCCAAGAGCTGGGCCTGAGAAGCAAAGGGTCTGCTTTTCAAACTCAGCACCGTCCCTCCCCCAGTCTCCGACTGGGTGACTGCGGTAGCCTCAGCCTGTCCGAAACCTAGGTCCCCGCCACTGAAAGCCATGACTCTGGAGGTGATGAGGGGTGAACAAGGGGCAGTGGGTGAGAAAGGCCCCGGCGGACACACAGGAGGTGCCTGGAAATGGCAGAATAGTTGAGCCAAGTTTCCCCAGCTGGGCCCGGGGAGCTAGCCCCTCAGCGAGTCTAGCCTGTGAGTGGCCAGCTTGGGGCCAGCTGTGACCCAGGTGACTGTCCTGTGATCATCAAGGGAGACAAAAAGAGAAGTTGTGCCAGAGAGACCCGGGTGATCAGTCCACAGATGAGCCTTCATGCTTATTGAGAAACAAGTATTTAAAAGGGGGGCACTGAGACCCAACTCTCCAGACTTGAATCCCATCTCCACTGCTTTATGCTGTGTGACACCGGGCTCGTTACTTAACCTTTCTGAGCCTCTATTTTCCTATCTTTAAAACAGGGATGATGCTAGAGTAACTTCACAGGGTAATTGTGGGGCTCAGTGGAGAGACTAACTGGCAAAACATGTGGCCTGGGGCCTGGACTAGTTTCGTCGGGGAACATCCAAGGGTCGCAGGGCCTGAAGCTGATTCCATTTTCAGAGCCATCTTCAAGCAACGGAAAGCAGAGTTGCACCCACAGCATCAGGCATGGGAGCGAATATCAGAATGTGGGAAGAGATACCACAGCAAATAACAAACACCGACAAATACTCCAAACGGGACCAAACCCCAAAAAACGACATCATAACAAAACGATGCAAAAATACTATAAAAACTCTTAATGCTTCTAAGCTGTCTACCGCATCCGTCGTATTTTGGCTGCCTGGTCTTGGATGGCCTCGTTATCTGAGGATGACCCTGCAGCCTCGTTTTCAGTAGAGACCAAAGAAAGACGAATCCGTTTGGCCTCTGGCCTGCTGCCTCTTATCACTCAGAGTTTAGAAATGTCCCTTCCAGCTTCACAACTTAGTGTTGGCGGTGCCGCACCTGTAAAGCTTTTGGCTGTTTCTCACTCAGGGAACCCAGCTCTTTGATCCTCTATGGGGTGAGGGGAGGGCACGAATTGGCCGCGAAGCCTGGATCACAGCAACCCCCCCCCCAAGCAGGGCACAGAGCAGCATGGGGTCCAAGCCCTTCCTCTCGGGACCCAAGTGGGACGCTCCTGGGCGCTCAGCAAGGCCCCCCTGGGGCAGGTTGTTACTGGGACCCAGGTGGGCAGGCAGGTGGTAAGGCCACCACCTGCAGCCCCAGGACAGGCCCTGCGGCTGCAGTGACCCCCTCAGACAGGGGCAGCACTCTTTGCCTTGAGGAAACATTGGGGCCTTCCTGGCCCACTCCCCACTCCCAACAGATCAGGCCCAGCCTTGCAAGGGGGCAGACGTCCAGGCTTCCTCGGCATCTGGCAAGTCATCGCGGGCCGGGCGGTGCTCCCGCGTCCTGCCATCACGGTGAAGAATCCACGTGGGCCTTGGCGCCAGGGGCCCCCAGTGCGTCCACACGAACACCTTGGTAAACTGAGACTTCCAGCTCTCTGCTTGATTTCTCTTCCAAGTCCCGGGTCCCTGGGGAAAGCCTGTCGTGGGACGTTAAGTCCACAGACGGGGACTTGTTTCACAGACGGGGAGACTGAGGCCAGAGAAGCTCGTGGATCCCGGTTCCCAGAGCTCGACCCACCTGTAGGTCTGCTACATGCGGGAACCTCCCCTTCCCCGCCTGCCCGCCTCGAGCACCGGGCCGAGGGGGCAAACATCATGAGCGGCCGGGTCCGAGCTGTGGGCAGAGGGGAGGGAGCGCTGGTGACAGCCACGGCTCTACCACAGAGCCATGCATTCTAGAAACTCCCATTACAAAGCACCATCATCATTACGGCTGCCTCGTGTGGCGCATTTCCTGGCCACCAGGCACCATGTGCTTGGTAAACACGATCCCCTTCAGTCCTTTCTAGAACCCCGGGGGTGGGGGGCTTAAAGCTCCATTTTGTATATGTAAACGGGCTCAGAGTTCTCGCCCAAGACACAACCAGGACCACTGATTCCAGAGCCTTAGTGCTGATCTAGTTTCCTCCTGCAATGCCAGGTCTAAGCGTCACAGGGGAGGGTGCGGAGAAGTCGGGTTCTGTCCAAGGTCATGAACACCCTGCTGGCTCCTGTGCCCTCCCCTGTCCCCTTAGCTGAGTTGTTTTCTTGTGCAGCTCTTGTCACTACCTGACCCGTATCCTTTTGAGTCCCTTGACTCGAATGCAATATTCCAGAAGCGACCGAGGCTGACAGGGGAAGAGGGCATGGGCTTGGGAGGACCAGGGGAGGAATCAGAGGCAGAGAGGAGGATTGGTTAACTGTGGGAAGGTTTGCTTTCCTCTGGCACTGCTTTCCCCCCTGCCTGATTCCCGTTCTCCCCAGATAATGGCTTTTCCAGGGCTCCTGAGTGCTCTGATATTCAGCTGAGACGTTTACCTTTTCCCCGGACACCAGATGGAGAAAACATGCTTCAGCAGAATTCCTTTCAGAGAGGAATTCAGTTTGGAAGGGATACCTTGACTTAGCCCAGTTGGGGTGTAACTCCGAGATTCTCTGGTGTGTGTGTGTGTGTGTGTGTGTGTGTGTGTGTGTGTGTTGGTGGTGAGGGGACAGAATGGGGGTGGGTAAGGAAGAGTTAATTTATGGGCCACACTTCGTGTGGGAGCCATGGCGAGGGCGAGGGGCGCTCTCAGGGAGTGGCCCTGAGGCAGCCCTTGCCGGCGTGGGACGGATCTAGAGAATAATCACAAGCATGACAAGAAAGCCTGGGAGGGGGTGGGGTATTCTGGTGGAACTGGCCAAATCTTCGTGAGGGAGGCCCCCAGGTGACCTGGAGCTACAGGCTCCTGTGTGAGACATGGTGTCTTTCAGTAGGTCCCCATTTCGTGCGCTACCCCGACACGAGGGAATTTAGAAGCCATCCCACATTTCCTGCTTGGTGGGTAAGACAGCCAACCACCAATTTTCAGAATTATACAGTTTTGAAAATTCTGAGACAGAAACACAAGAGAAGGCCTTTTAGACCGTGCTGACTGCCAAATGCCTCATTTTTGTCCAGAGAGAGAAATTTAAATGCTTTAAAAGATCTGTTGGACACACTGCCAACCCTTCCTTCCCTGGGGATGTGGATTCCAGAGCAGAGGAACCATGGGTGCACCCCTGCTAGGGCCTCTCTAACCAAGTATGGCGGGGGGGGGGGGGGGGGGGGGCGCAGCTGGGGGACTCAGTCAGTTGAGCATCACACTTGGTTTCAGCTCAGGTCATGATCTCACGGTTCGTGAGTTCAAGCCCCGTGTTGAGCTCTGTGCTGATAGCGTGGAGCCTGCTTGGGATTCCCTCTCTTTCTGTCTCTCTGCCTCTCCCCTGCTCACTCTCTCTGTCTCTCAGAATAAAGAAACTTAAAAAAATAAAATAAAAGACACAGTATTGGGTCACCCGCCTGACTTCAAGGTGTGAGTCTCCAGCAAAACATAAGCAGGTTCAAGTGATCTCCAGAAAGAAATAGGCTTCAAGAGTTGCCTGTGACGCTAGTTTCTGGAATTAAAAAGTTATAAACATATTAGAAGAGAGGATGGGGGTGGGGAGGTTCTGATATGGGTGCCGCCCAAAGTGTCTGTGTTCTCTACCCAGGGAGTTTGGGTGTTTCTCGGTTTAGCGTTCAGTGTTTCTTCCGCTGGGAAGCAGTTGGCATCGGATCCACAGCAGGTGGGGTTGACATAGCTCCGGGGGCCCTTCGGCAATGTTGTCCCCCTCTGCACACGCGGGATGGTGTAGCAGGGCTGGAACAGGGCCCTGGGCTTGATCGGAGAAATTCCAGGGGCTCCCACTTCCTCTTAATGAGGCTGTGGCACCAAACAGACGGATACACCCTGATATGCATTTATTTGCCCCTGATTGGGTGACACGCTCTTACTCCTTTCCCTCATGTATGTTTTGAGCTCTTGCTAAGCACCAGGCACCATGTTGTCTCATCGAGCCTCCCAACAGCCCATTTCATGGACACCGGTAATCAGAACTAGCATTTGGGGGAGCATTTATACAGGGCCTGGCACAATGTGAAGCATTTTTACAGACATTATCTCTTGGCAATCATCACCACTTTCATCCTCATTTTAAAGATGGAGAAACCCAACTCAGCGACCTGCAATCCCTTTTCTGAAACTCTAGGACCTGGTATGTTGGAGTTCAGAATTCTGGGGGTGCAGATAATATATCATGTATTATGTAACGCCCATAATTATGGATTATGCTGCACGACGTAATGAGATACATCAGTATTTATGCAAAGAAGCATGTAAATGGTATCACTTAAGTATCAAAAAGATTATAAACAGCCTCATATCAGTTAGGGTCTTGGTGCCAACTACGTTATAAAAAGGCTTTTGGTCTTCGGAGCTTTTTGGAGCTGTGGATGAGGACCCGAGGACCTGCCCCATGTTCAAGGTCCCCTAACTCTGTGTGCATCAGAGCTGGCACCCAAATCCACACTTCTCTGGGAGGGAAGACATCCCATCATTGTGACCAGCGGGCACACTCCCCATCTAGATCTGTTTGCTCCCAAATGTGGGACTTACCTTGCACTTTGCATCCATTTGCATCCTGTCCTCATCCCTTGGGAAACTTTAGTCACCTCCGCAGGAAGGTTTTCCCTGACCGCCTGAATTAAAGTACTTCCCAACCTGTCGTTCCCCACCTGGCACCCAGCCCCTCTTCAACCATGGCTTCCTGCCGCGGTCAAGATATATTTAAGTACCCAGTGTGTGCCGATTGGTTGATTGATTGCTTGATTGCCCGTGGGTGTGGAAAAGCTGGGTGGGGCTGAGAAGTGGGTGAGCCTAGACTTTCAGGGACGGGGCCGTCTTCCCCTCCAAAGATGGGGCCTGTGGTCAGTATATCAAGGGCATCAGAGCTAGGGAAATGCTGGTTCCCCATGATCTGAGGCAGGAGGCAGCTGGAGTCCATGGAAACTGTTTCTAGCTACACCCTCACCTGCCCACATCCATGGCGGACCATGATCAGTCGAGATACTTTCCCTCTGAGCACCAGCGTGGCCTTAGTTAGCGCCCTTCCCCACTGGGGTGGTCCTGCCAACTCATCGGATTATCCTACTTGGCCATTGTGAACCTGCCCAACTCAAGGTAGAACATACTCTTTAGCGCTAGTTAAATATTTATGAACGTCTTCTCTATGAAGGTGGCAGCCTTTCTTAGAAACCATACCTCACTTTGCGTTGGTTTAATCTGCTTTTTCCTTTCTCCTTTTTTTTGTTTCCCCAGGAGAAAATAATGAATGTCAAAGGAAAAGTGATTCTGTCAATGCTGGTTGTCTCAACTGTAATTGTCGTGTTTTGGGAATATATCAACAGGTAATTGTGGAGCCTGACGCCCACCTTGGACTTGAATCTCCTAGTATCAGCCAAGTCACCAGGCTGAGATTAAAACTGAGATTAACAATGAAGAAGAGGTCCTACCCTCCCTGTATCCCTGAGCCCTGGACTATATTTGAAATCATTAGATCGCCAAGTACCTTCTGGTTAATTAATCCCCTTCCGTCCTCTCACATTCCGGATGTCTTGATTTTTGTACCTTTGCCATTCTGGGTAGGTTATATGCAGGAACAGCCATCCTACGCCCAAATGTAACTCTAATTATTGGTATGACGAGCCATAGAAATTACCTTAAGAAATTTCAGACAGGAATTCCATGAGAAATCCACCCTGCATCTTGCAACTCCAAGATGTTTTCAGAGCTAAAAGGTGTAACTTAAGCTGTTGCCTTTTGCTCCAAAATATGCTCTGAGTGGCTGGCGATTCATTTGTGCCTGGCAAACAGGCGTGGGTGTCTTGTTTTGTTTTCTTTTAACTCTGGAAAGCGAAATGAATGAAACATTTCTGAGGTTTCAAATGCATCCGTGGATTCCCCCCCAAGTGTATGTGCTTCTTTCTGTGCCTCTGGAAATTCCAGTGTCTCAGAGATTCCAGCTGGAGAGGCTCTTGACAGAAAGCAGTCTGCAAACGGCTGCAAAAACACAAGATCCCTCTGAGTTCAGAGGTGCTTTGTCCAAGAAGCCTACAACACAACCCTGGGCCGGGAGGGCTGTCCTGGCACTGCTAATATTTTCACAGTTAAGGTGACAGCCTGGATGAACATTTACATTCTTTCTAGGCTTAAAGCTTAAGATTTAGCCAAGAGCCCCCAGGACCATCTTGGCTACTAAAAAAGGCACTGTCCCTTTAAGTATATCAGTAGAAGGAAAACTCCCGAGCACAGGGGCTCTGACTCCCAGGAGTGCAGCATAGATCTAACCACTTGGGGAGCGTTATTCCGTTTCATTCTGAACAGCTCATTTTAACAGAATCAAGACAAGCTAGAGCGTGGTCAAGTTCGAAGAGGCTACAAACCACGTCTTTCAAATTGAGGAAACTGGGCGTACTGAGTCCTGAGGCAAGATGATTCAGAGTTGGGTGCAGGGACCCTGGGATCCCTTGGGTACTCGAGGGCAGAGGAAATATCCTCTCTGGAGTCTGGAGCTGAGCTGTATGGAGCTGGTTCTGTGCCACCATTGACCTCCTCTGTGACCTTGGGCAAGGTGCTCAGCAACTCTGTTCCTCAGTTTCCCTCTTTAAAAACGGGGGGTGATAATAGTAGCTGCTTCATAGGCACATCGTTGGGAGGATTCAATAAGTTATTTTATATAGAACAATTAGGGCAATGCCTGGGACTTACTAAGCACTCAGTAAATGCTAACTGCCATCCCCCCCCCAGCCCTCCTCCTCCTCCTCCTCCTCTTCCTCAGCTCCAGAGGGCAGAACAGGACAGGAGCTTCTGACAAACAGAAGGGAGGGCTCTAGCAGTTGGAAGAATCCAACAGAAGAACAGTCTTTGGAGTTCCTGCCCTGAGTTGAGATCCTTGTGCAGATAACCTGCAAGCTCTCAATGCTCGATTGTTAAAGCTTGGTGTTTGGAATCTCAGCCAGAATCATACTTCCATATTTTGGGCGGTTCACAAAATTAAAATATGGGAGCCAAAGGCCCCAGGGTGCGTTTTGGCACTGACCTCCCGTAACGAGGGTTATTTTACAGGGCCGGGCACTCTCCGCGCAGTAGCTGGAGCGGGTTCTGGCCCCTCTCTGGGGCCATGGTTTGGCACCCAGACTCCGGGCACGTCATTCTTCAATGTGAGGAATCTATTGAATGTCTGCAAGAGGCATAAAAGGCAGCAGATCTTTGCCACCTTGTGAATTGGCCATGTGATGGCCCAAGGTGAGCTGAGGGCACTAACCTTAGACAGGTGGACAGCACCGAGCTCAAAAGGATTTTAAAATAACTAAATGGAGGGGCGCCTGGGTGGCTTAGTCAGTTAAGCGTCCGACTTTCGCTTAGGTCATGATCTCGAGGTACGTGGGTTTGAGCCCCACGTCGGGCTCTGTGCTGACAGCCAGCTCAGAGCCTGGAGCCTATTTCAGAGTCTGTATCTCTCTCTCTCTCTCCTAGAAATAAAAATATTAAAAAAAAAATAACTAAATGGAGCACATCAACTGATTAGGGATACAAGTACAACTCCTACCCCTCTCCTACTCAGGGGGTTATGATCTAGATGCAGCAAGAAGATAGGCATATAAATAACCAGCGACAGAAGCAGAGGAGGGCTATCAGGGCAGAGAAAAGGAACTGTCGGAGTTAAGGAGGCTAAGATTAGATTTGGCATGGAGGGGGATCTATTTTTTGCATTTATTTACCACTGTTTATTGAGCACCTACTATGTGCCAGGCACTGTGCTAGGATCGTATCAAGATAGGCACAAAGGAGCTGGCATGTGGTGAAGGATGAATGTGTCATTGCTGTGACCATTGAGATGGGGAAGGATTCTGGGGGAGAAGGGCAAGGACAGGGTAGCAAAGAGATGTGACAAGGTTGCCAAGCTGAATCTAGAAATTAGTGCCCTGAGTGCCAGGTGGGCATCTGAGCAATGGCTGGCAGCAGACCATCCCTTCTGCCTCTTCGTTCCCCTCCCTCTTCCACTTCTTGTAGGATCTGGAGTCTGAATCACCAGCTTCAAATACTGGCTCTGCTTCTCACTAGCAGTATGACCTTGGGCAAGTCACTTAATGCTTCTGGGCCTCAGCCTCTACCTCTGTAGGATGAGAAAGAGTAGAACCTACTGCCTGGCTTGTTGTGAGGTTTCAGTGAGCTAACATATGTCAGTTGCTTAGAACGCTGCCCGGCCAAGGGTTAGCTCTTATGCATATTGTCAGAATCAGTATAAGAACAGGGAGTTTTCGAGCATGGTCCTTGAGTCTTGGGCTCAGAGGAGAAACCATAGGTGGTGACAGAGCGTGCGCTTTATTCCTACAAGGAGATGCAGACCCCCACCCCACCCCCCACTCCCCGTGGGGAGAAGGAAGAAGGAGGGGATAGGAGGCCTCAGGGTCTGAAACAACTGTGAGCCAGTCATTTTTTTCAGGGCGGAGAAAGCTGGGGCCAGGCAGGGGCTGAGCCACCGCAGGTGCCTGAGCTCAAGTCTAAAACTCCCACCAGGCTGTACCCGCTTTGGTCACAGGGAGGAGAAGGGGGCAAGCCAGACTCAGCTCTGCGGCACAGCCTCCCCGCACGGTACAGTGGGTGATGGCAGCTGACGGGTCCTGCCGCGTTATCTCCCGAATGCCTCTCAAGTCCTCCTCTCCATCTCGTCACTGCCTTGCTTTGTGCCTGGGCGACGGCCATCACCCCCGACCTGGTCGCCCACATTCACTCCTCACCCCTGCAGTCTAATCTCCAATGATCTTCTTCAGCTGCCTGTAAGACCCTGTCCCTCCCCTGCTCAGAACACTTCAAGGGCAAAATCGCCAGTGGGGCCCCAGCAAGGTCTGGCCTCTGGAGACTTCTCCTCCACTTCCTTGCACATTTAAATGCCTCCTAGTTTCCTCAACCTCTTTGTGTATTTTTTCACTCTGTCTGGAACACTCTTCCCATGTCCCCTTCACCTGGACTCCGTTCATCCTTCAGATCTCAGCTCAAACATCCCTACCTCCTCCAGGAAGCCTTCCTGGCCTTCCTGTTAAGTGCTTAGAGTACGTATGCTTTTTTTTTTTAATAGCTTGGAGTTTGAGGTCGCGTAGCTGTGTGATTGCTGAATAAAGTCTGCCTTCCCTGCTAGCTTGAGTGTAGCACAAGTACACATGGACTGAGGTTCTGTGTCTGTCTTAGCCAGGGCTGTGTTCCCAGTACTTGGCACATAATTATGCTCAGCAAGTATCTGCTGAATGAACAGAGATGGCTCAATAGAGGGGTCAAATATTCCCTGGCCCGGCCTTCTAGATGCCTGCAGACCAACTTGTTACCTTCATTAGCTTAAGAAATGGAACCCCTCCCTCAGTGAAGCCACCAGTAGGTGATGGAGAGGTGTCACCATTTTCTTTTTTCTTTTTTTAAAAAATATTTTATTTATTTCTGAGAAAAAGACAGGCATCGTGAGCAGGGGAGGGTCAGAGAGAGAGGGAGACACAGAATCGGAAGCAGGCTCCAGGCTCCGAGCTAGCTGTCAGCACAGAGCCCAACATGGGGCTCGAACCCATGAACCGTCAGATCATGACCTGAGCCGAAGTCGGACACTTAACTGACTGAGCCAGCCAGGAGCCCCCACCGTTTTCTTTTTTTATTAAGATTTGAGATTCTTCAGTAACCTCTTTCCCACCCCTTGCTCTGAACCACCCTGAAGTGACTACAAGTGAAAATTCCCAGTCCTTCGATAGCTCTGGCTGTGTCTCAAAAGAAAGTAGAAACTTAGGAGTAGGCAAAACCCAGGCTCTCAGCTCAGCCCGACGCTTCAATGGTAATGATTGCAAAATAGCTTTTCTCAGAATTAAGAGTAACATGATATGTTTTTATTTCTCATTTGCTTTCAGCCCTGAAGGCTCTTTCTTGTGGATATATCACTCAAAGTAAGTGCTTTGAATTCTAGAGGTGTGTGGGATGCATCTGCCCTGCCCCCGCCCCCCGCCCCCCCCAGCCCATTTTTAACCCTGCAGCCAGTGGTGGAGCTCTGGTCAAGGGCAAAGGGGAAGCATGGCTTCCCAGGGACCCGGACTACATGTCTCCCCTTCCCCAGATGGGCCCTGATACAACTGTCACTTGAATTATGCCCTTGCTTCTCATCATGGGTTTCTTTAAGTGGTGTCATTTGGAGAACATTCTGTCTTGCTGATGAAAAGAAGACAGGTATTTTTTGTTATGCTGCCCAGGATATGTTTTAGAAAGACCCTTGCAAGAAATTCCTTAGAGACAAAGGATCAGGAAAGAAGTTGGGGTCTCCTCATGAACTAGTATTTATTATTATTATTACCAAAGACAGTGAGAACTATGTAAGCCTATATTTTTTTTTTGAAAGAGAGAGAGGGCATAAGTGAGGGGCAGAGAGAGGGGGAGAAGTAGGGCTCACCTGTTTACCCAAAGCGGGGTTCGTGTGTACGAGAGAGAGAGAGAGAGAGAGAGAGAGAAGTGGAGCTCGAGCTCACCCCATACAGGATGTAGGGCTCTTTCTCACCCAAACTGGGGATCGAGCTCACCCGATGTGGGACCCGAACTCATGAACTGCAAGATCATGACCTGAACTGAAGTCAAATGCTTAACGACTGAGCCACCCAGGCGCCCAGCCTTCATTTTCTAGCGTTGGCTTGTTGCCAAGAAGCTCAGAACAGTCTTGTGCTTAATTGTACTTTCATCAGCCTTCGATTCTGATACAATTTATTCCCTGGTGTTAAATCCTGGCTTTTATGCTTACATTCTATGGGATCTTGGCAATTTGCCCAAACCCACTTGGCCAAATTCTCAGCTATAAAATGAACATAAAGATAAAACCTTTATGATCACGAGTAGCGGGGGATGACCAGCTTCATATGAAAACACCTACGTGAGTGATTGAATATTTCTCTTTCTGCCCCTTTTGTTAGTATTAAGTCTTATGTCGTCTCCCTGTGTATGGTCATCTGAAACACCTCCTAAAAGTAGATGAGCTTTAAAACAGCTTTTAAAAAAAAATTTTTTTAAACATTTATTTATTTTGGGTGGGGGAAGGGGCAGAGAGAGAGGGAGACACAGAATCGGAAGCAGGCTCCAGGCTCCGAGAGCTGTCAGCACAGAGCCCAACGCGGGGCTCGAACTCACAATCTGCAAGATCATGACCTGAGCCAGAGTCGCCCACTGAGCCACCCAGGCGCCCCTAAAACAGGTTTCTTACCATCATGATGTTCATGTCTCTTATTTGTCCAACCACAGGACACTGCACCTCTGCTTCCCCCTCTCTCCCCTTCTCCAGAAAGTCCCCTCCCTGGAGAGACTCTCACAATGAGAGAGTGGAAATTTCCACATGTGGGTGGTGAGGGTGGCTTCTGATTACAGTTTCCTGAGTTTCTGGTTCAGAGACCCTCAGATTTCCTGAGGCTGTCACTGCTGACCTTTGTAGCAACTTGTATTTTAGTTCAGCAAAAGAGATCCTTCTTGAAAATATACACTGGTCTCTCCCTTGTTTTTTAATTAAGATCACAACTTTTTACAGTAATTTTCAACTTTGCTAAAGCTCTTTGTTATATGCTATTTCATTTAGTTTTCAAAGCCACCTCCATGGTGGGTTTATTATCCTTGTGATCGTCACCATCCTTATTATTACATATCTGACTTTTCAGAGGAAAAAACCAAGATTCAGTGAGGGGAAAGGTCTGTCACAGTTACACCACTAGTAAGTGTCAGATCCATGACCCACGCTTATGTATCAATGTTCCCCAGCTTATTATTCCTCTTGCCTCCTGTCTCCCTGCTGGGGCTCCCTGGATGAGCTGGGCCCCGGGGCTGCGTGCGCTATGGAGGAGAGGTCCAGGCAGCATTGGGTCCATCTTTCCCTCCTTCAGCTAGAGCAGCTTGACTTCTTTTCTTCCTTTTTTTTTAGTTTATATTTTAATTCTAGTTAGTTAACAGTGTTATATTTGTTTCAGGTGTACAATATAGTGATTCAGTGCTTCCATACATCACCCAGTGGAGAATAGCTTCACTTCTGTTTTATGAATGGGCAGAAAAAAAGAAAGAGAGCGGGGAGGAGGGGAGGAAGGAAGGAAGGAAGGAAGGAAGGAAGGAAGGAAGGAAAGAAGGAAGGAAGGAAGGAAGGAAGGAAGGAAGGAAAGAAAGAAAGAAAGAAAGAAAGAAAGAAAGAAAGAAAGAAAGAAAGAAAGAAAGAAAGAAAGAAAGAAAGGAGAGAGAAAAAGAAAGAAGGAAATTTAAGTAATTTTCTGCCATAAAGCATTTGGAACCCCCACCCCCACCCCTGCCCCACTGCCGCCACGCAGTTTGGGACTGTCTCATCTTCTAAAAATGTTTGTCATCTCTTTCATTTCTTAGAAACCCAGAGGTGGGTGACAGCAGCACGCAGAAGGGCTGGTGGTTTCCAAGCTGGTTTAACAACAGGTAAGGTGGTGGATGGGGTGGCCCTCTGTGTTCGTCCGCCCACCTGACACTTATAGAATCAAAACAAAATGGTTTCGTGGTCATGGCCTTCACGGTCACCTGTCTTTCTGGCCTATTGAAGTCATACAAGGAATCTATTCCATGGTTGGGACGAATATATTGAAGGTTGGGGGTTATGGTCAAGTTTTTCCATTTAATTTGAGGGTGAGTGGGGCTTGGGCTGAGGTTCAGGCCGTGGGAAAGATGATCACAGGAGGACTGTTCCAGCAAGTTCCCTGGCCCCCTGAAATACTTCTGGGTCACGAGACTGCTAACTGTGCTGGCTCGGAAGAAAAGTGAGAAAGCTGAGTACTGAGCCTTCTCACCAACATTATGTGTTTACGAATAAACGTTTCGCATCATGAAGCTTTCTCCAGACATTTTTCCGCCGTACAAGTTCTCCGCCTTGGAGCCCGTTTTCACGAGCCCTTCACTGGCTGTCCTGGTGCCATGGATCAGCCTCTGCCTTACTCTGCTTGCTTTCCCTTTGTACGTAGGACCCACAGTTACCAAGAAGAGGAAGACGCGGACAAGGGAAATGAACAAAGAAAGGAACACAATGAAGGACTTCAGCTGTCAGACTGGTTTAATCCACAGTAAGAAAAGAAGCGTCTCACCATGTACAATAAATCCATTAGCCCCCATCACAGGTGGTGGGGACTGTGTAGGCAACAGTGCCATTGAGAACATTCCCGGTTGGGGATACAGAGTCTTAGCATCTGTCAGGCTTTCACCATAGACTAGATGAGAGTCCCAGAGTCTGGATGTTTTAACTCAGATGCTGGAGCCACAACGCAGAGATTCTGACAGCAGTTGTCCAAAGGCAGCAGGTGAATCACAAAATCCTGGGGCTGGAAGGGGTCACACTGACCATGAGGTGTTGTGGAAAGCGACAGCATGTAGGATCAGAGCAAGGAAATTCTTGCTGAGATTCAGCTCATTTATCTGAAAAATGGCAGTGATGATGAAACATCTCATGGGGTCATGCGTGCATCATTAAGCGATCATACGACAAATGTTTACCAAACACCTACGATTGCCAGCTGGTATTTTTCAAACTACCGGTCACTATCCATTAAGATGTTCAGAAAACTAGCTTAATGGGGCAAAATTAGCTTTTTAAAAAAAAATTGAAATCAAATAGAAAATCAGAGGGCATCACATGAAATAGAAATAAGGATAAACACTATTTAGTTGAATTATTGTTTCCGTGTATATGTGTTTGTGCATGCATTTCGTTGTGATGCAAAATGCATTTCTCACTCGGAGTCGTGGTCAAAAATTCTGTGCTAGATGTGGTGTGAGGCACAGGAGACGGAGAAACCGATCCATGTGGGAATGTCCAAGAAGCCCCTCGCCTGATAGCAGCAGGAGATGTGCAAGCACTATTTGCCAAAAGTGGGAAAGAGGTGTGGCCGATCTGACTCAGAAGAATGCGGTTGGGGAGTAAGGAGGCAGGGGCTGTGGAAGATGATCAGAGGACCGTGAGGCCTGAGAGATGGGTGGGCAGTGGTGTCGTTGACCAGGATAGGGACTGGCGGAAGACAGCCAGGTCTAGGAGTCAGGGTAGGGGGTGAGCTCTACCAGAGACGTATGTGGGTTCTGGTACTTGTGGGGCGTCAGGACAGAGATTCACGGAGTGCCTGTCTTAGTCTGTTCGGGCTGCTATCACAAAACACCACTGACTGGATGGCTTATAAGCAAGAGAAATTTCTTTCTCAGGGTTCTGGAGGCTGGGAAGTCCAAGAGCAAAACCCCAGCATCTTTGGTGACTGGTGAGAGCTCACTTCCTGGGTCACAGACAGCCGTCTTCTTTGTCCTCACACAGTGGACGGGGCGGGAGCTCTCTGAGATCTCTTTCCTAAGGGCACTAATCCCATCATTGAGGGCCCCACCCCCATGAACTAAGCACCCCCAAAGGCCCCACCTCCAAATAGCATCACATTGGGGATTGGGTTTCAACATATGAATTCTGGAGGGCGGGGCACAGACTGTCAGTCGATAGCGGTGCCCATGAGCTCCGTGAAAGGTGTATGCTAGAGATATGGGGTGAGGAGCTATCAGAGTGAGGGGGCCACCCAGGCAGAGGACTAGAACCACATCTCGTCTGATGTCTGTACTTAAAGGGCCAGTGAAGGAAGAGGAATCTGAAAAGGGGCAGGAAGAGCTGTAGAGGAGGCTGGGGAGAGAATAGCAACTATCCCAGTAGGGGCGGTGTGAGCTCTGGAAAGACCGAGTACGTTCTGGCAAGCCCTCTTTTTGTTTTGGGGGAGGGGGTCATATGTGTGTAAGGATGAGAATTTTGCCCTCCCCTCCCCCTGCCCATGTGTCATTCAATGAGCTGGGCACCAGGGTAGCCATCCACGAGATGCTAAAGCGTTACTGGAAACACAAAGATATGGAAGCACGGTGGCTTTGATGAGCCCCTTAGGTGTGTGTGTGTTTGGGGCGGGGGGACGGGGAGACCTCCACCAAAAGGTGGGCTCGATGAGCCAGGGATAGTCACCAAGCACCTTTCTAAGGAGGCTGGATGCTTTTACTGTGGCCTTTGTGCTCCGGGAGCGGGACTTGGGGGGCAGGATGAGGGCTGAATTACTGGAGACAAAGAGGCGAGCCCGATCGTGGTCACCAGCTGTCACCCCCCACCCCCCCCACCCCATGCATGGCTCAGCTTCTCCTCCACACAAATGGTGAGCATATATTTAAAGAATATTGGTTTGAAGAGCCTCCAAATGTAAGGCTTCCCAGGGCACCAAAGTATGTTTCCTGCATAAATAAATGATTAGATAAACAATTGAATGAACAAATAAATATATTTATATAAATGTACCCTTTCATGTAAATGACCTACAATGCATTACCTTGTATTGTGCACACATTTCCACATCAAGATCTCTTAGCTTCTGGGACAGTACCTCCTCTGAATTTCCCTCCTCCTCCATTCTGTCTTCTTCGTCTCCTCCATAAGGGCCTCTCCCTCATCATACAGTAGAGTTTCTGGAGGCTACATCCAGTATTCTCGTCTCTCTTCTTTATACACCGTCTTCCAAGGTGCTCGCACCCACTTCCATGGCCTGAGACACTGGCAGGTGCGAGTGACTCCGCACATTTTAGATCTTCAGCCCGAAGATATCCCGAGCCCAGACTTGGATGTCTGTGTGCTTGACATCTGTGTACACGCCTCCCCTGACCCAAATGGATTTGCACTTTCTACCCTCGCTCTCATTCCCCACTTCAAGCCAGGGGCTGGAATACCTCTCTGGTTCAGCCTTTCCCTCCACTCACCCCACAGTCTAATTGATTGATGTGTCTGTTAATCCTTCCTCCAAAATCTGCCCACGTCGTCTCCTTCCCTGCATTCCACAGCCCCACCCTGGTTCCTGTCGCCATCCATCCGCTCTTCACAGGATCCTCCCCTGGAGTGCTGATGCTTATCGGCAGTTCAGTACAGAACACGCTGAACACATCTTTTTTGACCTGGTTCATATTGATAGAATTTTAACACTTCCGCTACCAAACGCTTGGGGACCACCATGTTCCCATTAATAAGTACGTAAGATTCAAAAGCTAGCAGTAACCTAGGTAGCTGTGCGTTTTCGTGATAGAGGCCATTTTATTTCGTGGAAGGCTCTGCCCTAGAGTGGAGCTGCACAAACTGTCGCGGTGGGTGCCGTGCTTAGAAGAAAGGCATTTGGGCCATCTGTCCTGGCAGTTCTTCTTTTTAGAGCCCCATCTTTGTGACTTGGGACCCTTCTGGCCCTTGACAATAGCGAGGACTAGCTCTCACACGTGGGTGGCCTGCCCTGTGTGGCTTCTTTTGTGGGAGACAGTGGACGGTTTTGCCGACTACGACTCCTTGATACAGAGGTTCATCCCAGAAGCTGATCTGGTCCTCAGGCTCGCTTCTCTCCTGCCCCCACATTTTCAGGCTGTCATCTGGCTTCTTAGGGTCAATGACATGTGGGAATTGCCAGTGAAACTTAATAATTAACAGCTGGGAAATAGAACATTTTAATTTTTAAGTAAACATTAATTTTTAATATTGCTGCTTTTTCTTCCCTCCCCCCTCCCGCTTGAAGGAATCTTCCCAGCCAAGCCACCAAACTGGACACTGCTTTTCTGACTCAGTCTTTCTAGAAGATGTGGACAGAGGGGGCGCACTGCTGTGAGCAGGCTGACCACCTGTTGGGACTGTGAGATTGTCCATGGGTAGGACGGGGCCTCACATCTCCCGTCACACTCAGCAGCGGGGCTGGTGTGCGCGGCAGGGGCTTAGGAGCTGTGCCGTGAGGCCTTGAGTGCCCTGGTCTGGACCTTCCTATAAATCAAATAGCTGAATATGCAGCTCCCTTCTCTTGTTCACCTCTGCCTACTTTCTTAACTTGTAAAACGGGGGTGAGGATGGCATCCACTTTATGAGGTGCATGTGAAGGTTACACGAGAGTGAAAGTCCAGCACGTAGCCCCCCGTGCATCATAAGTATTAGATAAGTACATCTGGTCAGCTGCTGCTATCCTTCCTTCCCCTTCCTTTTTTTTATTTTTAAACAACATTTTTTTATTGTTTATTTATTTATTTTTGAGAGAGAGAGACAGAGTGTGAAGAGTGGGGGAGGGATAGAGAGAGAGGGAGACACAGAACCTGAAGCAGGCTCCAGGCTCTGAGCTGTCAGCACAGAGCCTGACATGGGGCTCGAACCCACAAACTGTGAGATCATGACCTGAGCCGAAGTCAGATGCTTAACCGACTGAGCCGCCCAGGCACCCCATTGTTTGTTTCTTTGTTTGTTTTTTAATAATATTACCTGCTTACAACATGTCCAGCTCATACACAGTTGTAAGACTTAGCTAGTGGGCTTGGTCAGAACTACTAAAGTATCCTCAATGGGATAAAACTAAGGATGGCAATGAATGAGGCAGTGATACAGGGGAGAATTTAAGTTCAGAAACGTTGGTTATAGATGTACAAGTCGTGTGTGTGTGTGTGTGTGTGTGTGTGTGTGTGTGTGTGGTGTTTGTGGTTTGAAATCCTGCCATTCAACAAAGCGGGGGGTGGGAGGGTTATGTGACTAAAAGCATCACATTAGCTTCTAAAAATATAACAAAACAGAAGCTCATTATTTCTCATTGTACACTGGTAAAAATGCCAGAGTAGCTAAACCTTAGCTTAAAGTTAAGTGGAACCTCAGCTTAAAGTTAAAACCATGGCACACGTGGGTTTTACCCCCAGCTTCATCAGCACAGTGAGTAAACGTCCACAGAAGCAGCAATGTAGGGCAGAAGCTCAGAGCAGGGACTCCAGAGTTGGACCACCTGGGTTCCCACACCAGCTTTGCCCCTTACTAGCTGTGTGACTTTGGGCAAGTTCATTAGCCTCCCTGGGCTGCTCACGGATAAAATGGGGATCAGCATAGCACCTCTGGAGGGTGATGCCCTTAGCACGGTGCCTGGTCTCACAGGAAGTGCTCAGCGGATCTTAGTTACCAGCCGTAGCAGGCAGCTGTGGGACCTTGAACAAGCCTTGGTTTTCCTGCCTGGACAATGGACACACGTGGCAGGACTGTTGCGAGTACTAAATGAGAAAGTGTAGGTGAAGGTGCTTTCATGTTATGATCGAAGGAAACCAGGAAGAGCTGTTCTCGGCGCAGCGGGCACACGTGGGGTGCGAGGGCAGAGCTGAGGCTGCAGGTGCATGGGGGAGGGCCAGGACCGCAGCCTCAGAGTGCCCCCTCCCACCTCTGGGGGCCATTCAGCTGTGCAGGGAGAGGAAGGAGGCCAGAAGCAGGGCACAGGCCCCAGAAGGGAGGGACCACCATCTGTAGAATGAGAGGGAAATGCTTGGTGACAGATGGGACAGGAAAAGAGCTTCCTGAGTCTCTTTTCCACTCTGGGGCTGAAGCTGGGGCCAGATGGGGGTCGACCCAGCCTTGCCCAACCTGTGGAAAACCCAGCTCTGTGATGGGGTAGGTTTTGTTTTTGTTTTGTGACACCTCCCCGCCCTGCCCTGCGTGTAGGACTGGTGCGGGCGGGATGGGGGCGGTTCTCATCGGCTCCATCTGTTTGCTGACATCTCCCCGCCAGCGTCACCCGGGCCACATGCATGCAGCCCGCAGGGACCCAGCAGGGACCGGCCGGACTTTGCCCCAATCACTGGCCATCTCCCCTCCGTGGATGAAGTACAAGCAAATGCCTAAGGGGAACAGGCCCCTTCGCGCTGGGGATTGAGTCTCGTGACTGTGTTTCAGTCTCTGCCTCCCAGCAGGGGAAATGCAGCCACTTCCTGAGTGAATGGGGGTCAGAGCTGAGTCTGTGTCACCCCCCGCCCCCACCCCGCCACGGGGCCCCAGCGGCTACTCAGCCCTTCCGCGTGTCTACCCTCTGCAGCTGGTCAGTGTCCTGATGCTTGTGTTGCTTCCTGTGTTTGTACTGGTTTTGACGGGGACAGTCCCCATCAGGCATTCTGTGTGCAAAAAGCATGCGTTCCCTTCCTCCACTCACTCTCCTAGCAAAGAGGCAATGTGGTCTGGGCAGAGGGTCTGTTAGAGCCCCATGTTCTGGCCTTGGCCTTGGGGGTCCTCTGTGGAATCGCTTCTATTCTGGGTGACTCTGACTCCTTGTTTGTAAAATGGATGATAACATCAGAAATTCCTTTCCAGCAAAAGGCAAATTATCTTTCTCTCTTTTGGCTCCAATGTCACTCTCTCATTCTCCTGAGTCAAGAATTAGGGCCTTCTTAGGTGCAGATGGCACCCACAGGGATAAATGACACCCAATGATGCCACTGGTGGTTTAGGAAGGGGCTGGGAGATGGCAGAAGGGATCCAGAAGGAAGAAGAGAGCTAGGAAAGCAGCAAAAGGGGACAGAGAATGAGATGTACAGGTAAGACAAGGGCCCCCAAGGCAGCCCTCAGAGGCACCTGTCCTGAGAGCCTCCTGTCCCTTACTCAGAAGATCTGCCCCAGCAAATGTCACACCACCCAGCCAACTGCCTGGAGCTCAGTCCGGATCCAAGGACAATCTCAGCATATCATACCTGACCCCAGTTTCTCCTTGGACAGTCTCAGCCCCACCTTAGGAAAGCTGCCCTGACTCACGGGGCCCTATATTTTGTCACCAGGAAACGTCCAGATGTTGTGACAGTAACCGAATGGAAGGCGCCAGTCGTGTGGGAAGGCACTTACAACAAAGCCATCTTAGAAAATTATTACGCCAGACAGAAAATTACCGTGGGTTTGACGGTCTTTGCTGTTGGAAGGTAAGTGTCCCTGATAAAACTGACCTCCACTTTTTCTTGTTTCATTGTCCAAATGTTTGTGAGGGGACCCCTGGGCTTACAGAGCGGTTCCTGCTTTGTCTGAATTATTAGATGGGAGACTGTTACAACAGGAGCATTCTAGTCTTGTGTCTGCTGAGACCCCCAAAAGGCTAACAGAGCAAAACAACTAGGTGAGTCGACTCCTTCCCACCTCAAAGTGAGAGTCTCGGATGGCAGGTAAAAATATCCGCACACCCACGACGACCTCCTTCCTGACCTCCATGGCTTTCTCTGGAAGTTTCAAACATGGCAGTTGTCAGTCCAAACATGCGTCACTCTTTGTCCTACACTGTCAAGACCCAGGACTGAGGACTGGAGGCTTTACAGCAAGTTCTGGGTCCAGACTGACTCAAGCATAGTGGTTCTCCATATTGGAACATGGCTGACCGCTCCTTCCCTGGGTTCCTCAGGTCTTCTCGGCCCCGAGAGATTCAGCAAACCAGAACTTCATCTTCTAGAGGCTGGGGAGGTTCCTGTTTCAGATTCCATTTCCTTGTTTAGAACACCCCTTCCAAAGCTGCAATCAGTCTTACCTGAAATTAGTAGCCGTAATATTAGTTTTAAAATGTAACCCAGTTGACTCTTTTGGAGAGTTTCTGTGGGTGTTTTTCTCCCCAAAACATATGCCGGTGTTCAGTTTTTCTATTCCCCACCCCCTGCCGTGGGCCTTTCCTACGGTTCGTCTCCTGAAAACCACGTGGAAAGTTGAGCCCTTGGGCTGCACAAAGAAGGTCAAAGGCCTCGGGTGGTCTGAGCCCAGGTTCTGCCCACTCTGAAGACCTGAGGAAGAGCCCCATGAAGATCTGATGGTTCGCCTAAGACCTCCAACCCAGAGGCCCGAAATCACTGCTGTCACAATACTGCTTCGTCACCTGGGCGGCATCTCTAATAGGGATGGTGACTCTGGAGTTTTGACATTTTCCTCAGGAGAATCTGTACCCTTCTGAGTCAGGAGCCGATACTCAGCTCGTGGCACAAACGTTGTAGACTGATTCAATGCGGGCGTTCCCAAAAAGAACTGAATGCGGGCGTTCCCAAAAAGAACTGAATACTCTACAACGGCTTCACCGGCTTCACCGTCCAATTGCAACTCTGTTGAACCATGCATAAGGTGCATATCCTGGAAAGAGCCCTATTTGTAAATCGCATATCCTGGGGCAAACCCCGTGCTCTCCTCTCTGAGTTTGCCCTCCACAGCAATAAATCCTCACAAGAGTGGATTTGGACTTTTAGGAGGTGTGATGTTTGGTTTCTTTTCAAATAACAAAGCAGGAAGCCAACAGCAGTGTTTTAATCCCTAAACAATGTTAAACCTCCTGTGGCCCCTCCCTTACCCCAGGATTGTCTCCAAAGCTTCAGAGCACAATGGATTTTTCTTAAAGTTCCAGAATACCCAAGAATTTCCTGGCCACCAGCCACAGAGCCATGTTAAACTCCCTGTTTATACTGCTCAGATATCATCTTTCCATTTGAATAAATCAGTACTATAAACTCTTGGGCTTCTAGAGGTCAGCACTAAAAGCACACTTTATTTTGGAAGTAAAGAAAGGAAATCCAGGCAGCAACCGAAAAGCAAAACAAAGTACCGGTTATTACGGCTCATAAAACATCTTGATAGGCTGCTGGTATGATCAGCGAATTAAATTCAATCCACAATCACCGAGCTGAGCATGAGTCTGGGGTCTGCGTGAGTTGTGTTAGGCTCGCTGACTACTACATCTTCCTCCTCTCTACAATCTCCATGGCTTCCCAAGAGTGTGTAGCCTGAGTTACAGAAGACCCCAACACGACATGTCTTGAAGGAATACATACATTGCTAAAATGTCACCACCCACCCATTAGAATGGCCCCAATCCAAAATACCGACAATACCAAATGCTAGCGAGGATGTGGGGCGACAGAGACTCTCATTCAATACTGGTAGGAATGCAAAATGGAAGATGGTTAGGCAGATTCTTACAAAACTAAACATTGATCTCACCATGCCATCCAGCAACGGCACTCCTTGGTATTCAGCCAAAGGAGTTGGAAACTTATATCTACAAAAACAAAAAAAACAAAAAAAACACAAAAAAACAAACCCCAGAAAAAAAACCTATACACAGATGTTTACAGCAGCTTTATCCCTAATGGCCAAAACTTGAAGGCAACCAAGATATCCTTCAGCAGGTGAATGGCTAGATAAACTGTAACATCTAGAATATTATCAGTGCTAAAAAGAAATGAGCTATCAAGCCATGCAAAGACATGGAAGAATCTTAAATGCGTGTTGCTTAGTGACAGAAATGAATCTAAAGGGGCTGTATACTATATGGTTCCCACTCTATGACATTCTGGAAAAGGCAACATTTTGAAGACACTGAAAGATCAGCACTTGCCAGGGGTTGGACAGGGGCCAGGAGTGGATCAACGGGCAGCACCCAGGATTTTTAGGGCAGTGACAATACTGTGTATAATACCATACGTAGCGTAGCGATGGATACATGTCACTGTACGTTTGCCCAAATCCATAGAATGTACAACACCAAGAGTGAATCTTAATGTAAACCTTGGGGTAATAATGACATGTCCGTGGAGGCTCATGGGTTGCAAGGCAAGTGTCGCCCTGATGCTGGATATTGATAGTGGGGGGAGGGGTCACGGGAAGCCATGGGAGAGAGGGGCCAGGGGAGGTAAATGGGAACCCTCTGTGCTTTCAGCACAGTTTTGCTGTGAAACTAAAAATGCTCTAAGAGATAAAAAGTATTTTGAAAAACAAGGAAAAGGTAGTTAAACCAAGGTTAAAGCAGAGGTTGTTTGCTCTGGTGTTTAGATGAGTCTTTCGATGGTGGTGTTTGAACAATGGATTGGTGTTTGGGGTGACCAGTGGGAAGTTCACAGGGTGAATATGTAATATAGAGGGCTATCCATGTCCTGTAACCCATTCCCTGGGTCCCAGAGGAGGATAGAAGAATGGTGATAGTTAGGCTTAATACATCCCCAAAGGACCCAGATGTCACTCTTGCATCTGGTAGGGCAATAGCAACATTGGGTATAGTATGAGGGAGAAGTAGCGCCCCCTGCTGTTGGGCAGAGGATACCAATTTCCAGTTACAAGATGAGTAGGTTCCAGGGATCTAATGTATATCATGGTGATTTAGCTAGTAAAACTGTATTATACACTTAAAGGTGTTAAGAGAATGGATCTCAAACGTTCTCACCACAAAAAAGAGTTGATAGTTACGTGGCATGATGGGGGTATTAGCTAAAGCTATAGTGATAATCATTTCATAATATATAAGCATTCAGATCAACACTTTGTACACCTTAAACTTACACGTTATTCTATGTCAATTCTATCTCAGTAAAACTGGGGCAAAAATAACTAGCACCCACTTTGCCTGCCCACAGTCTGAACCAACTGATAAATAAGACAAAAGGCTAAGTAAGGTAGATGATCGTGAACATCACCTTCATTACAGGTAAAGCTGGTACTGGAGAAGGTGGCTTCTATTTGTGGACCCTAGGTCTCCTGATATTGAATCACGGAATCAGAAAGATTGGGTACCCAGGTTTCCAGGTGTGGAGTAGGGCCTGACCCACTAGGGCTCCCTTTAAGGCTCCGAGCTCTTAAGACCACAGGCTCTCCCCACCTGGCTGGCGGCAATTTCCAAGAGTGAGAGTGGTGGTGGCAGAGCCGCAGATGCCCTGTTGCTCTTCCAAATTCAGCAGGTAAGTCCCTCCTCTTCCCCAAAGTGGAGCGAATGAATGGTGGAAGGCAGCCAGGAATGTTACACTATCAGATGTGGAAAACACATGTCTAGGATGGAGGAAATCATTCCTCCCCTAAACTGTAAAACAAAACCAAAACCAGAAAAAGATGATTAGAATAGCACGCAGCCTCCTGCCCAAATCCCAGTGGTTAAGTTTGTCCCGTTCTCCTTTGTTTCAGATACATCGAGCATTACTTGGAGGAGTTCTTGATATCTGCTAATAGGTACTTCATGGTTGGCCACAAAGTCATATTTTACATCATGGTGGACGATGTCTCCAAGATACCCTTGATAGAGCTGGGTCCTCTGCGTTCCTTCAAAGTGTTTGAGATCCAGCCTGAGAAGAGGTGGCAGGACATCAGCATGATGCGCATGAAGATCATTGGGGAGCACATTGTGGCCCACATCCAGCACGAGGTGGACTTCCTCTTCTGCATGGATGTGGACCAGGTCTTCCAAGATAGCTTCGGAGTGGAGACCCTGGGCCAGTCGGTGGCTCAGCTCCAGGCCTGGTGGTACAAGGCAGATCCTGACGAGTTTACCTACGAGAGGCGGAAGGAATCCGCCGCATACATCCCGTTCGGGGAAGGGGATTTTTATTACCATGCGGCCATTTTTGGAGGCACGCCCACTCAGGTCCTAAACATCACCCAGGAGTGCTTCAAGGGAATCCTCCAGGACAAGAAAAATGACATAGAAGCCGAGTGGCATGATGAAAGCCACCTAAACAAGTATTTCCTTCTTAACAAACCCACTAAAATTTTATCTCCAGAATATTGTTGGGATTATCATATAGGCTTGCCTTCAGATATTAAGATTGTAAAAATATCTTGGCAGACGAAAGAGTATAATTTGGTGAGAAATAATATCTGACTTTAAATTGTGCCAGTAGGTTTCTGTATTTGAGAGAGTAGTGTTCTGGCTACTTCCTCAGAAAAGTAACACTTAATTTTAACTTCTAAACAATACTAACAACACGCCAATGGCTCTTCTTCCTGATAACTTTGAACCTTGCAGTATGGGAGGATGAAGCCTACAGTAATCAGATGTAAATTCCCAGGGATTTCTTATCTCTTCTGGGTTGGGGGGGGGTGGGGAATACTATCAACTGAACCAAACAACAACAACAACAAAATTGACACAGGCCAAAAAAAAAAAAAAAAAGCCAGAAACACTCTACCTGTGCTAGCGAATGTACTGGAGAAAAGATGCTAAGGGAAGTGTTTGGCAGCAAGATACAGTTGTGAGGGGGGTCATCCCCTTGACTTCAGTGTCTTTGCTGAGACAAGAACTCTGAGTAAAGGCGCGGTTACCTTGGCAATCCTCACATGGTTTCACTAGCAGACTGCTTCAGGCCATTTGCTATCCGTGTTCTCTTTCCATCAGGAAAATGTTGTTTGGCTTCTGTGGAGAAGACTGGTGGTGATTCCCAATGGACATCATGGTGGCGAATGTTTGGAGTCACAGGGAATCTGAAGGAGCCAGTGGTTGCTCAGCACGGAGTGAAAAGAGACTCAAAGTTGAGTTTGCCATGAAAAGGCAAAGAGAGTGGAAAAAGAGGAGGCTGATATCTGTGGGCCCCCTCAGAGGGATCAGCATTGGGCTGGTGCTTAAAGACAGCATGGGTCCGGGCGCTGAGTGGGGGGCAATGTGGATAGTCTCCGGCTTTCTTGGACCCACAAAGACCAGTGCAACGGGGACTTGACTGGAAGATGCTGCTTGTTTTGCCCAAGTCACACTCAGCCTGCCAGACTCTTGTGTTCAGTTCCTTGGCCGGAGAAGTGAGTGGTGCCAGAGAAGGCAAAGGCCCACGGTGGACTAAAGAGGCTTGCAAGGAGTTACATTTCCCAAAGTTGGGCTTCATGACAATAAGTCATCAACATGCCCTGTTGCCACCTGCTTTAACCCTCAGGGTCCCTCAGCCCATCATGCCCCAACCTGGAGGGCTGACATCCAGGAGCTGGACTGGATTGGGTAAGCCCTTGGGTCAAGTAACCTCTCGTTTTCCCCTGCCCTGTCTGCACTACTGAAGTGTGATGAGCAGATACATTTAATAAAATGAGCTAACTGATTTTATATCAAAAGCAGAAGGGATGGCAATGAGAGATTCAATCCTCATGAATGAATAGCTTAACACACAATACCCTTCTCTAAGAGAAGCTATGAAATCCTACATATTACTTCAAGTTCAGCAATTCAACGTACGGTTAGGAGGCAACATTTACATATGCAGGTATATTTATAGTTTGCTTGTGTTCTAGTTTTGGTCACTTGTTTCCATTTTTAAGTGATTTATTCGAAGAGCCACCGCACTGGCTTGGTGCTCAGCACAATGGGCTTTTTTGATAAAACGAAGCCTACATTTTTTTTCTACCATTTCACTGTGCCTCCTACTCTTCAGCCCTTGCCAGAAAATCTCACAACCCAGCAAAACAAAGCAAAACCACCACCACCAACAACAACAACAAAATCCTGAAGAAGTGGACTGTGTAAGAGAAAATGGAGACCACGTGTCCATTAGGACGCTGCCTCTCCAGAACTCAACTTTCCTGGGATCCATCCCTTCTGGAGTAGAGACAGTTAAGCATTTAAATCCTAAACCAAAGATATGATCTATCTTAAAAGATTAGGGAAGAGGGTTGATGTTTACTTTTGAGCGAATGTTGATATTTTTTTAATTCATTTAAATTTAAATCCCCAAACTCAAGATCTCATTGATAGTTATTCTTACATTAAAAAATAATAAAATTCACACTTCACAACTGAATAAATTATTTTCTCAGTAGATTCTGGTCTGTCTCAGTAGATTTATGGATTGGGCATTTTCTCCCAAAGATGTTCAGAATCGTCAATTATAATATTTTAAATTCTTAGACTCCTAAAAGTCCTGATATCCTCTTAAAAATGTGTTCACTTTTACAAAGATAGAACATGGTTGAGAGTCCCAAACTTTTAGAACAATAAGTGCTAATGGAGAGCTTTCCAAAGTGGTGCATTGAAATAATTAACGGTCAGTGAAAGAACTAGAAAGAAAAAGGCTTGCCCCTCAGCCCCAGGGCGGGGCGCCAGCGCAGAGGGAGAAAACACTATCATAACTACATCTGGGGATTATTAGTCCTGACCTCTGGGAATATATGTGGCCAAGGGGGTCCTGGGAAAAGGCTGGCTCTCAGGCAAAGTCAGGGAGGGTGTATTTGCAATAAATATAAAGATGAAAACAGACTGATGTAGTGTGGCACACGGGGATACAAGAGGGCACCATTCCCTCACTGGAGAGAATTATTTTCATTTTATACATGAGCAGAGTGATATTCAGCAAGGTTACCCACCCAGCTAGCAAATGACTGAGCTGAAGCTCAAACCAGAGAGGCAGACAAGGATAATTGTGTTAACGTCACATGCATGAAGGGCTGTGTGTGTTTCATATCGAGGAAAATGCAACTTTATTTTTTTTACATTTACTTATTAATTTTGAGAGAGAGAGCACAAGCGGGGGAAGAATGGAGAGAGAGAAGAGGAGAGAAAGAATCCCAAGTAGGCTCCACACTGTCAGCACCAGACCCCAACTAGGGGCTCAAACCCACAAACCATGAGACTATGACCTGAGCCGAAATCAATATTCACAGGCCTAACCGACTGAGCCGCTGAGGTGCCCCGGAAGATGCAACTGTATAGAAGTATCTTTTAAAGGGGCATTTTCCCAAAAGAATATTTTAAATATTAAGTGTGTAAGGGATACCTGGGTGGCTCAGTAGGTTAAGCTCAGGTCATGATCTCACGGTTCGTGCATTCGAACCCCACGTCGGGCTCTGTGCTGACAGCTCAGAGCCTGGAGCCTGCCTCAGATTCTGTGTCTCCCTCTCTCTCTGCCCCTCCCTCTCCCAAAATAAATAAACATTAAACATTTTTTAAATAAAAATAAAAATTAGGTGTGTCCCCAAGCCTGTTGTACTATTTCCCACTTTTTGTGCATGAAACCTCCCCCAAATGCATTAAATTAGTTAAAATGGATCATGTAAAAATAAATAAATAAAAGACTGTGATCATTCTTTTTAAAAAAATAAAACATTTTCCCTTTTTTATTTTATTTTGAGAGAGAGAGAGAGAGAACAAGCAGGGAAGGAGCAGAGAGAGAAGGAGAGAGAGAGAATTCCAAACAGGCTCCGCACAGTCAGTGCAGAGCCCATAGCAGGGCTCAGACTCACAAACAGTGAGAGCAGGACCCAAGCTGAAATCGAGTTGGATGTTTAACCAACTGAGCCACCCAGGCGCCCCTGTGGTGATCATTCTTACTTGACTTTGTGTGTCAGCCCTGCACACACTGAGCTGTTATGCCAAGGCAGTGCCTTGGAGGGCACGACTGGGCAGAGGGGCAGGTGGAAAGGACAGACATGCCCCCACCTTCCACTCCATCTATAACCGGGGGGTCACCTGCAGCTGGAAGGGGACAGGTTTCTTCAAGCCCTGAAGGGCCTCCCTTCTCTTACCCTTCTTGGAATGACACATCTTTGATTCTCCCAGACAAAGTCACCATGTGCTTTACTAAGAAGGGAGTCATAGTTATGACAGTACTGACAGTTATAAGTATTTATTAAATGTACTATTTGTTAAATGTGCCTTCCATAAATGAATAGCAGACCAACAGGGATGAAGTGTCATAGAAAGCCTGAATGTGTAACATACGAAGAATACTTTTTAAGGAGAGAAAGCGACGTGAGGATCCATTGGTCAAAGCTTCCCATCTGTAAGGGTACAGACTAGGATTCAAATTCAGGACTGTCTGACTCTAAAGCCTCTGCTCTTTCTACAGCTCCCATCTGTTTCCCTCACTCTCTCTTTCACATACGTCCGTGCAAACGTACATGCATGCACACACCTCCCCACACACACACATTTTAACCATCTTGTTTCTGAAATTGGAGGACACCAAAGGAATCACCACCAAAATCTCTCAATTCCTTTATGAGGCATTCAAGAGAAAGAATTCAGTAGACCAAAAACTCTTAGAATCTAGGTCTAAAGCCATCATAGAGCCACCCTGGAGAAGCAGACAAATGAAACTTGAGCAGTACAGAGCCCGGGGAAGCATGGAGAAAGGAAGGAGCAAACTGCATCAGAGGGGCTGACTCTGAATTGAGATTTGAAAGAAGAGAAGGGGGTGACTGAGAGGAGTGGAGCGGGAATGGAGCTCCAGGGGGAAGGGCAGCAGACGTGAGGCACAGAGGACTGCCAGGAGACCTTCACGGAGACGCACACAAATGGTGCCAGGGCCTTGGCACTGGATGAAATCACGGGCAGAGCCTGTGTGGAAAGCGGTGAAGACCATGTGAGCACTTTGGCTGGTTAACTATCCCACATATGCTTAGCACTTGTGGCTTTCTTTCTCCACTCCCAGCAATGCCTGGGCTCCTTAATGGAGTCCATGATTTCTATGGAGCCACGACTGAAGCAAGACAACCCATACTAAGCCCATCAGTGCTTCCCATCCCCTTGGTGGCAATGATTGATTCAGGGTGGGCAGGCGACCTAAATTGGTCCAATGAAAGAGAATCTCAGGTGCTCTTAGGAAATGAGTACACATGTTGTATTGGGAGCTTGACCACAGGGAGGTCAGAGTTAAGATGAAACGGACAGGAGGGCAGGAGGAACAGAGATGATGAAGGAAGTTCAGTCCTTGGTGACAACCCTGAGTCCCTGGCTCCAGCCTTACCTGAAGCCTGCACTCCTTGTGGGCTTTTCAAATGTGTGAGTCCCATTATTAAGTCAGTTGGAAATGGGCTTTCTCTTATAACTGAAGATATCCCCGTTGAGCCCTTCTAGAATTGCTAGTTCCTTAAAGGCAGATCCACAGTCTGCCTTTGCATCAGTTCTAGCCCTTATTATATCACCTACCTCAGAGGTGCTGTTTAATGCATATCTACTAAATGAATGAATGAATAAATGAATCATCACATCCACTCCCATCATGCCTAATAAGAAGTGATTGTTTTTAATTAAAACTTTAAATTTAATTTTATTTTTGATTTTTTCTTTAATGTTTATTTTTGAGAGAGAGATAGAGAATGAGGGGGGCAGGGGGAGAGGCAGAGAGAAAGGGAGACACAGAATCCAAAGCAGGCCCCAGGCTCCAAGCTGTCAGCACAGAGCTCAATGTGGGGGTTGAATTCACGAACTATGAGATCATGACCTGAGCTGAAGACAGACACTTAACTGACTGAGCCACCCAGGCGCCCCTCAACCAGGATGATTTTACAGCACCACCATCCCCCTACCCCCACCCCCCAGGGATGTTTGGCAATGTCTGAAGATATCCTTGGTTGTCACAACTTGGGGTGCTATTCATATTTAGTGTGTAGAGGCCAGGGATGCTACTAAACATCCTACAATGGACAGGACAGCACCTCCCCCTCAATAATTATCTGGCTCAAAATGTCAGTAGTGACAAGGTTGAGAAACCATGGTGTAAAATCTCCTTTGGACTTCATTAAGTAAGAAACACTGGGGAGTCAATATGCATAACACCCAATGGCCTGTATACTCTAGGAATAGTCCCTGATGGGTGTCAAGAGCCTTGAACTCACCTCTTCTTACTCCTATAACATTCACAGCTAAGACAGAAGTAGTTCCCTATACTGGACACTGGAGGGCAGGGATTTCCAAAGTTAACAGCCTGAGGCACTGCAGCCATTAAAAACATTCCTGGGGTGCCTGGGTAGCTCAGTCAGTTGAGCTTCCAAATCTAGGTTTTGGCTCAGGTCATAATCCTAGGTTATGGGATTTAGCTGCACGTGGAGCCCCACAATGAGCCCTGCATTGGGCTCCATGGAGCCTGCTTGGGATTCTCTTTCACCTTCTTTCTCTGCGCCTTCTCTGCTCACGTTCTCTCTCTCTCTCTCTCTCAAAATAAATAAACTTAAAAAAAGAACCCACATTCCTCTCTAGATCTGGTAAAGGCTGCACAATTATAGAAATAGATATGAATAAATGAAAATAGCTAGAAATATCTAAAGAATGTGGCTGTGAAAAATCAGCCAAAGTTAGAAGATAGTTTGACTGAACTGACTAACTGTTCAGAATAAAACATGGTTATGCTAGCTAGGTATTTTAGTGAAAAATATTTTGATTACAAGGAACAGACATCGCCCTGGAGCTGTCTAAATCTGAAAGGGAGATTAGGGGGAGGTTAGTTTCTGGTAGGGACAGTTCCACCAAATACAAGAAAGAGCTGATGATCAGACGGTCATATACTGAAGCTGGTGCACACCCACCAGCTTCCCAACTCCCTGTGTTGTGTTTTCACTGTGGGGGCTTGATATGTGCCCCAGTGGGCTTATTTACACCATGGGGGTCAGCAAACACTGCAAATCAGGGCTCTTGTTTCCTCTCCTTTCTTTTCCATTTTTTTTTTTTAAAGAGTTGTTTGTATAAAAATTGGCCAGCCCAGCACTATAGCCAGGCCATGAGCAATAGCCAGGGAAGTTCAAAGAGTTTCAACAGCTAAAAATCATGAACTTTCTCTGGGGGTCTGTCAATATGGCTTGGCCCCAACTATTTCCAGACTCTGGGTTTCTTCCTTTAAAACTTTAAATTCCTGAGATGCCTGGGTGGCTCAGTCGGTTGAGCGTCTGACTTTGGCGTGGGTCATGATCACCAGGTTCGTGGGTTCAAACCCCCTGCAGAGCCTGCTTTGGATCCTCTGTCCCCCTCTTTCTCTGCCCCTCTCCCACTCATGCTCGCTCTCTGTCTCTCTCTCTTTCTCAAAAATAAATAAAATATATTTTTTAA